TCTTAGTCTCAAACGCCCAGCTGTTGTACTTTTAAACATCACGACACCTTTTCTTAACTAAGAGTTAGACTGGAAGAGGAAAAGAGAGTGGGTAAGAAAGAGTGGGAGGGGGGGACGACGGAGGGATGAATGAAGGGGGGAGGGACAGAAGAAGGAAGGAAAGTAGGAAGGAAGGAAGAGGGAGAGAAAGGGAAAGGAGAGTGTCCGTTCAGACCGCTGTGTGTGAGCATGCATGCGTTTTCTGTAAGATTAGCTCATCGAGACGGACCACTTGAACGGCCAGATAACGTTCCCGCGGGGTCTTTTCGGAGGGATTCTTGATGACGTCATAGGCCGGATGAGCCGATGGCCGACACCTATATGAAGAGACCACAGACGTCTCCTGAGTCAGAACAAGCTCTTCCTCGAGTACAGCTCCTCGGATTTCTTGCTTACTTTGAGAGCGACGTTTCTGCCGCAGAGATGAGTGAGTGGTTCTCCGTTTTTGTTCATTATTTACTACCATTCCCTCCGCCCCCCTTCCTAGTCTTTAATTAAATGCTTTTATGCGGTTTCCTGTAACCATTCTCAAATCTTATATTTATGATGTACAGAGCTCAGAAAATGTACACCGTTTTCGCTCTACTTCATCTGACCTATCACAGATGATTTTCCATGATCATTTATAATAATTTTGTACCTTACCCCATACTAAAATTATAAAGAGAAGCTCAGGCGAATGTGGTATTTATTTCCCAGGTCGTCTTGCAAGTCCCGCTCGGACCTTGGTCGTCCTCCTTCCATTCCTCGCCGCCTGCGCCTCCTCCTCTAACTCCTCCTCCTGGGCCTTGCTGTCCCTCCCTTCGCCCCTGACGTCCCTGTCGGCCCTCTGGTCTCCCTCCGCCCCCCGTCCGCCCCAAGGCTGTCAGCTGCATCTTCGAGACAACATCCTTCGTCGAATTCAGCTCCTTCTGTCTCTCCTCGAGGACTACGTCGACTTTTACGTGAGTTCTGTCTTCCATCGGCCCTCTTTTCAGTGCCTCTGCCATATTAGGCATAAATGCAAATGAAGGAGTGCCAACACTAATGAGCGACGCCCCTTTCAGGCGCAGGAGAAGTTCAGCAACAGCTGGGCTGTGATGGATGCCATTTTCAGTCCGGAAGTGGACGCTCAGTTGGTGCTTGTGTGCGACCAAGAGCTCGAGTGCGACCAGGTCCTCCCTCGCCTGCCCTCGCCCCCCTCGACCTCCCCCCAGCCCGAGGAACTCCTCCAGCAACTGCTCACTCTCAGCCGCCGCTACGCCCTCGCCCTCGAGCTGGTGTTCCTCGACCAGTCTCTCCACGAGGACAAGTTGGTCCTCCTGGAGAGGACGGACCAGATCTACAGACACGTCCAGGGCCTGGTGGACGTGATCGTGGCCCAAGTGGAGCAGTGCCGAGTGGACGCAGACGACGCCGTAGTCGCGAGGCTGGCGGGCAAGCTGTATAAGGGCGTTTCCTCCGACGGGAGGAACCAGCGCGGCTTCCGCACCTTGAGGCAGTGTCTGTTGGGTTTTCGCTACATCAGAAGCCTCTTGTAGTCGAGCCTCCTCCCACCTTGTTTATTTCCGTCTTTTCATTGTGCTTTGTCGTATTTATTAAAACATACTTTTTCTAAAAGCCTTTTTACACCCTCCTCGATATGCTACTTCATCAGCCACTATAGTATAGGGTTTATCAAACCTATGGCTTGGCCACTTGGCATTCTGGAATCTTTTCATGTAGTACAGTCTAAGACAAATCATGTCAAAATATACATATGCAAGACAAGTTCGCTACTCCAGTTGCTGTTCACTTACTACAATCACAAAAAAATGCTACATCCATTAAGAAATAAGAATTTTATTAAGGTTATACACGGTGACCCAAAAATATGCGGGAAGCTATGATTGCATCACGACAGGCAATTGGCTGATGCTGCTGTTGTGTTTTAGCAGAAATGTCTGATATTTTCTCAATTTGCTTAACTTTCCGAACGAAATTTCAGCAACATATTCACAGAATATATGAACAATATATGTTCAAACACTTGTGCCTCACAACAAACATCTCATTAGTGACTGTGCAAGTCCTATACAAAGCACAGAGCATTTGAATGACTTCTCCTAAATTGGAGAACTTATGAAGAAACCACTTTCTACAAAACAACAAAACACAGATCAGGCAAAGCTTACAACTATTTTTTCCAGACCACAACCATTGGACATAGAAACAATCATCTTGGTGATAAAACACCTTCGGAAAACAAATGCTGTAAGAGCAGAGGGTATTGCTTTGCGCTTTATCAGAGATAGTCTACCCGTAAGTGTACATGATTTGACGATCATTACTAATACCTCTCTGGTCACTGGTGTCTTTCCGTAGCTTTGGAAACATGGTATAGTAACACCAATTTCCAAGTTGGAGGATATAGACGATGTGAATAATTGTCGCCTTATTACTATACTTGTTACTATCCAAAATTCTTTTTTTAAATTTAGCAAATCATCTGACGAGTTTCCTGGAGACCAATAACTTATTATGTAAGACGCAACATGGTTTCAAAAATAGGTATCTACTATAACAGTTTTACTACAAATTACTGATGAGATTTGTAATAACAAACAAAAATCAGGTAAATTTGCTCACATTGTGCGACCTTTCTAAAGCCTTTCATAGAGTCAACCATGAATTTCTTATTGATAAATTAGTAATTCCTAAAATTGATACTTTTTGGGTGAAAAGTCATTTAGATACAAAGAACTAATCGGTAAGAACCAATAATGGTATGTCATCAAAACAACAAGTACCTTTTGGTATACCGCAAGGATCCATATTAGGCCGGATTCTATCTATAATTTTCATAAATTATTTATCAACAATAGCCCATAACTAACTTCTAGTGCAGTGTAGCGATGCTTCACAGTTCCTTCATAGTGACAGTCAACAACTTAAATATTTTATAAGGAAACAACATACTCTTACACAAGCAAACTTATATTTTGACACTAATAGCCTGAAACTTAATCCACATAAAGCACATTAATAGGTAGTCGGCTAAAATTCCCAATGACACAACCATAGAATTTGAAGGCTGCTCTATCAAACCGAACACTTCAGTGAATAATCTACGAACACACTTTGACAGATTCATGACATTTGAACCACATGTTGACAAAATACATAGGAAAATAATGGGCACCCTGGTATATCTTAATCACATCAGAAATCAAATCACTACTGAAACTAGAATCATGGTTGCACAAACTATTGTTCAAATATTTGGTTTTCGACTAATGAAATCCAGTTGTAAAAAGTGCAAAAATTACAAAACTTTGTTGGAAGAGTTGCATTAGGTAATATCAGTAAACTTGACCACATCATCCCGCATATCCAATTGAAATTAAAATAGTTAAAAGTCCATTGTAATTGCAGTTATGACACATATGTATTCATTTACAAACTCATTCATGGGAATTATCCGATATGGTTAAGCCTTTGTAAACTGTAGGGAACACATCAGGTGTCCAGACACATCAAGTAAATTATCTTGATGTTAAGAGATCGAATACCGATACAGGGGCACGACAAATGGAAATACCTGTTCCATACCCAAGGTATGGAACATACTACTACATAATACAAGAGACATCAACAGCTTCTGTAATTTCAAAACGAAATTAAAAGAACAACTTTTAAAGAATCAACTGTAAATTTAAATCAATTTATGTAAAGAATAACCGTTGTAATATAATGGAATAAAGTGTTTTGACTTTGACTCTGTACCCCTTGTCAGGACGTTCAACACACGATTAACGCCTACTGATTGTTCTTTTCACACTGCGTTCCCGCCTCTTCTTCGGGAGATCATGAAGCAACATTCTCTCTCTGAGGCTCCAAGATGCAGTCCTCACTCACAGGGCCAATTCTATTAGTACTAAGATGTTTAGAAAATTATAACAAATAAAAGATTGCCAAAGTCAAACATTCATTTGTTCCATGAAGCTCGCCACTTTGCTTTTGCGTAAGGACTTGCCTCCGAGACCGTTGAACTTGAGTCATTTTTATTGACGACAAATCCGACAAAACCTTCTAGCGGTCGGGGGCGAGACGGGAAGTCAGGCCCCGCCCCAACCCTGTGACGTAATAGGAATGGTCGGGGTTGCTCTATAATGCATAGGGTTTCTGATATCTTATGACCGCCGTCTTTCTGTGCAGCTCTTTCTTAGGTTTGATCTATAGCCCTTCAGTATGTGTGTGTGTGTGTGTGTGTGTTTGGCTATTTTTCGTATTCTAAGCCTGCAAAGATCTATTATCTACTTCAATGGGGCATCTGATCATTTAGGTGATGCTCAGCCTCCTCATGGTAGATAAATGACATTAACACATAAGTTTTTCAAGCCCGAATGGCTCAGTCGGTAGAGCATTAGGCTTTTAACCTAAGGGTCCAGGGTTCGAGTCCCTGTTCGGGCGAATCCTTTTGATAAGAAAGAAGGAGAGGGCGAAGAAACGGTGAGAGAAAGAAAGGGAGAGGAGAAGGGTGATTTAACTATGACGGTTTCTGAAAATAGAAAATATATATTAGTATTATCATCCCTTTAACCTCTCTTACTACCTCCTCTTTATCATCGATAAGGTGAAGGATAAGTGGCTGAGACAATGCGATAGAGAAAGTTTAACCTATCCTTCATGCAGAAATCCTTGCAGACTGCACACTGGGAACCGCTGAGTTCAGTTTTTACTTCCATTTGTCTGTCTTCCCTTTTTTCACCTTCTTTTCCCTACTTTGGCACGTTTTTCTTTCCATCTTTCATATCTATTTATTCATCTCTCTTTCTCTAAGTATGGATATATGTAGATCTATGTGCTTCGTTTAAACCATATCTGTCCACACTTATCTGAAGAAAAATACAATGATAGAAATCTTTTCCTACAGATACGATAATGAACCGCCAGATAACGTTCCCCCGGGCCTTTCCTTAGCGAAAAGGTGTCACTGAAACTCGTCCTCCTCTTGCTGACGTCACAAGGAGGATGAGCTGATGGCCGACAGCTATAAGAAGGAACCACAGACGTCTCCCGAACAGAACCAGCTCCCCTTCGAGAGCAGCTCCTCAGATTTCTTGCTTGCTTTGAGATCGACGTTTTCGCTGCAGTGATGGGTAAGTGGTTCTCTTTTTTTCCAACCGTTTTTCTCTTTTTTTCTGCGCTTGCGATCACTTTTACTAATCTTTATTTAAATGCTTGTATGGGATATCCCTTTATCATTCTAAAGCCTTGTATATAAACTAACACAAATGATTTTCCATGATCATTTATAATAATTTTGTTGTACCTTACTCCATACTAAAATTATAAAGAGAAGCTCAGGCGAATGTGGTATTTATTTCCCAGGTCGTCTTGCAAGTCCCGCTCGGACCTTGGTCGTCCTCCTTCCATTCCTCGCCGCCTGCGCCTCCTCCTCTAACTCCTCCTCCTGGGCCTTGCTGTCCCTCCCTTCGCCCCTGACATCCATCTTGGCCCTCTGGACTCCCACCGCCCCCCGTCCGCCCCAAGGCTGTCAGCTGCATCTTCGAGACAACATCCTTCGTCGAATTCAGCTCCTTCTGTCTCTCCTCGAGGACTACGTCGACTTTTACGTAAGTTCTGTCTTCCATCGGGCCTATTTTCAGTGCCTCTGTCATATTAGGCATAAATGCAAATGAAGGAGTGCCAACACTAATGAGCGACGCCCCTTTCAGGCGCAGGAGAAGTTCAGCAACAGCTGGGCTGTGATGGACGCCATTTTCAGTCCGGAAGTGGACGCTCAGTTGGTGCTTGTGTGCGACCAAGAGCTCGAGTGCGACCAGGTCCTCCCTCGCCTGCCCTCGCCCCCCTCGACCTCCCTCCAGTCCGAGGAGCTCCTCCAGCAATTGCTCACTCTCAGCCGCCGCTACGCCCTCGCCCTCGAGCTGGTGTTCCTGGACCAGTCTCTCCACGAGGACGAGTTGGTCTTCCTGGAGAGGACGGACCAGATCTACAGACACGTCCAGGGCCTGGTGGACGTGATCGTGGCCCAAGTGGAGCAGTGCCGAGTGGACGCAGACGACGCCGTAGTCGCGAGGCTGGCGGGCAAACTGTACAAGGGCGCCTCCTTCGACGGGAGGAACCAGCGCGGCTTCCGCACCTTGAGGCAGTGTCTGTTGGGTCTTCGCTACATCAGAAGCCTCTTGTAGTCGAGCCTCCTCCCGACTTATTTATTGTTATCTCCTCATCGTCCGTTATCTTATTTATCAACACATTAATCATACAGTGTACTGTGTTTGCTTAAATATATCAATATCAACTAGAACCTATTTATAATACAGTATATCAAGTACTTATCTAGCATTTAGCATGTCTCTCGGGACTCAGTCACGGACCACGGCCACTTTCCATTCAAAAGTTTATACCGATATTTACCTAAACAAACACCCGCACTCCTGCCTGTGGTCCGTGATTGAGTCTCTCTCGACACACACACACACACACACACACACACACACACACACACACACACACACACACACACACACACACATATATATATATATATATATATATATATATATATATATATATATATATATATATATATATATTATGTATATATGTATATATATGTGTACATATGTATATTATGTTTATGAATCAATTACAGTTTATACAGTTCCTATTTAGTTTTTGCTTTGTATTAGGGTATTACTAACAATACATTTAATTTACCCCTACATCATGTACACGCGTCACCTTCCGACAAGTATGTAGACTACTAATCCTACCTCATGCATGATGTTAATTAAAGAAGCAGCTTCTTACAAGACAGCGTATAATTAACCATGCTATTGAAGGTTATAAGAAGATCCAACGTTGTAAAGTTGGCGACGAATACGGGATTACCGCAAGGCTTAATTAGGGCAACAAATTTACACCTTGCAGGTTAGTATATGGATTAATAATGAAATAGAAGATGTGCATAAGCAAAGCATACACACACACACACACACACACACACACACAACACATAATATATATATATATATATATATATATATATATATATATATATTATATATATATATATATATATATATATATATATATATATATATATATATATATATATGTGTGTGTGTGTGTGTGTGTGTGTGTGTGTGTTGTGTGTGTATGTGTGTGTGTGTGTGTGTGTGTGTGTGTGTGTGTGTGATATATATATATATATTATATATATATATATATATATATATATATATATAATATACATATATATATATATATATATATATATATATATATATATATATATATATATATATATATATATAAAACATATCTCTCACTCTCTGTCTATCTTTTCTCTCCCGTCTCCCCTCTCTCTCTCCCTTTCATTCTCCCTTTTTATCTCTCTCTCTCTCTCTCTCTCTCTCTCTCTCTCTCTCTCTCTCTCTCTATCTCTCTCTCTCTCTCTCTCTTCTCTCTCTCTCT